GAGCTAAGAGTGCCTTTATGTGTTAGTGAAGAAGAAGAGGAGGTTCTTGTGAAGGCTAGAAGTTGGAGTACAAGCTTGGATCTGAGTTCTTCAGAGGAAGGAGCTTCACTTAGAGGTAAAAAGCTCAGAACTTTCCTCTTTATTTTGGTTTGGTGATTCATGGTCCATTTCTAGGGTTAAGGTCCCAAAGGTGGAGACTTTATGAGCACAAGGGACTCCATGGACTTAGATCTGTCCCATTTCAGTGATATATGTGTTGTAGATCCATAACAATCCCAAACTGGTCGTCATTAGGAGTCATGTTTGAGTTATGGACTTTAAAGTGTTGGAAGTGGAATGATTTGGGTGTTGGTGACTCTTACAGCCATGCAAAGGCTTAAAGTCACCAACTTTATGGATTAAGAGGCTAAGGGGTAGTCAGATCTGAAAGTTAGACGTGTGTCTTAACTGTGTAAGACCCCAAAAGCTAAGGAGTCTGAAACTGGGAGTTACGCTGGGCGTAATCCCAGTACGCGCGGCGTAGGGGGTCGCGTTCTCCGTTTCTGTGAGGTCGCCGGGTATGCCCAGCGTACAGGTTCGGTACGTGCAGCGTAACCTGGAGAGTTGACTTTTGTTGACTTTTAGGGTTTGGTCAAACAATTGGACTTTTGGGACCGTTGAGGGGTAAAATGGTCTTTTAGCCTTCTGAGAGTGCTAAGAGAGGGAACAGTCTAGCCTTGAGAGTTGTATTGATTAGAGTGCTTATTCCATGTGATTAGGCGGAGGCTAGAGCAGATTTTAGCGAGTTCGAGATTACCGAGTTACCCGAGGTGAGTCTTCTCACTATACTGTACCTGGAAGGGTACCTATGTGTGACCGGAAGGTCTTGTATGCTATGATGTATGTGCTATACGCGGTTATGTGATATGGGTGACCGGAAGGTCTTGTATGCTATGATGTATATGTTATACTCGGTTATCTGATATGGGTGATCGGAAGGTCTTGTATGCTATGATGTATGTGCTATACGCGGTTATGTGATATGGGTGACCGGAAGGTCTTGTATGCTATGAGATGTATGTGCTATATGCGGTTATGTGATATGTATGTGCTATGTATGTTATGTATGGTATGGACCGGAAGGTCAAGATGACATGGACCGGAAGGTCAAGATGATATGGACCGGAAGGTCAAGATGATATGGACCAGAAGGTCAAGATGATATGGACCGAAAGGTCAAGAGGTTACGGACCGGAAGGTCGATACGGGTAGGACCGGAAGGTCTACCGGGATTTGGGACGGAAGTCCCTGAGACACATGGATCGGAAGATCCTACAGAGTTATGGCCTGGAAAGGCGTATGTGTGGTATGTGGTATTTTACCGAGTTCGAGATTACCGAGTTACCCGAGGTGAGTCTTCTCACTATACTGTACCTAGAAGGGTACCTATGTGTGACCGGAAGGTCTTGTATGCTATGATGTATGTGCTATACGCGGTTATGTGATATGGGTGACCGGAAGGTCTTGTATGCTATGATGTATGTGTTATACGCGGTTATGTGATATGGGTGATCGGAAGGTCTTGTATGCTATGATGTATGTGCTATACGCGGTTATGTGATATGGGTGACCGGAAGGTCTTGTATGCTATGAGATGTATGTGCTATATGCGGTTATGTGATATGTATGTGCTATGTATGTTATGTATGGTATGGACCGGAAGGTCAAGATGATATGGACCGGAAGGTCAAGAGGTTACGGACCGGAAGGTCTACCGGGATTTGGGACGGAAGTCCCTGAGACACATGGATCGGAAGATCCTACAGAGTTATGGCCTGGAAAGGCGTATGTGTGGTATGTGGTATTTTGGGGAACTCACTAAGCATTTATGCTTACAGTTGTTATGATATGTGTTTCAGGTACTAGCGAGGATCGCGGGAAGGCGCCGACATGATTCGTACACACTTACGGAGTTTATGTTATTGAGATTATGGGACATGTTTTGTTATGACACAGTGAATACATTATGTTTTATGATTATCGTGTGATTGAAAGTATGATAAAAAAAATGAAAAATTGTTTTGAAAAATTACGTCGTTACAAATAAAGTTTAGTGTGAAAAAGTATGGAAAATACCAACCAACACCGGGAGGGTTCGCACCTCCCTTATATAGTGTGTGAGGCTTCTTATCCGGACGGAAGGAGGGACACGCGCCGGATTCTTCTAGTTATTTGCTCTCTCCCTCATAATCTAAGAGCTGAATATTTGCTCTCTCACCCTCTCTCCTCAATTCTTCTAGTTATTAAGGTTTTAGGTACAAGCGATTATATGCATTCAAGTTTAAGGTGTTTGCTTTTCAAGGAACTTCAAGAGGATTTGATTTGATTATTTGTTATAATAATCAAGAATTATGTAACCCTAATCTTTATATGAGTTTTGAGATTCATAGTCTCTCTCTAGGGCTTCTTGATGTTCATTGTTTATTGTTATCAATAGAGAAAACTTAAATCCAAACTAGGTTGCATGTGAACTTAAGAGTTAAGTGTTTTTCCGTTCATATGTATTTTTTTATAACCTAGAAAACCCAACAATATTCGACATCTACGAGGTTCACTTTGGATTGGTCGAGAATTTGGACAACTTTTTTTATTATTACCCTATTGGTGACATATTCCACGTCTATGAGGTTCACTAGGATGATTCCATCTCGTTATGTATTTTGTGCTTAAGAATATATGAAGCAGAAAAAGTTGATTGGTCACCTTTGATGAATCCATTTTTATATTCAATATTACCACATCAATATAGAAGGGTCATAAAGGGATAATTTAGCGTCATAATAACAAATATAAGAGAATTTAACTGCAAATCAAAGAACAAATAATTAGTATCCTAAATTTAATATTGAAATCATTTATATATGTAAGATATATAGAAATATATACATACATTATGTTTGAGATAGAAGAAGAACTAGTAAAACAAAGATGAGTGAAGTATGGAGATTGAGGATGCAATTGTAAGGAGAGAAGAATTTGAAGGATTGATGAGAAAAACTTAATTCGATGACTTGAATTTATAGTATCAAAAATGAAATAAGAATTGACATGACAATTCATTCAGAGTAGAGTATTAGATGTGCATGGACATTTTTAGATTATTCAATTCCTTTGAAATTGTTTTTACGGACATTGTTATTGATTGAACAATTTCTATATAAAATTTGTATATTTATTTATTTTATATCTATTTCTAATAATATCTATATAATTATTTAATATATTTAATTTTAATAATATTTATTATTGGTATCCACAAAAGGTGTTAAAGAAAAATCGAAGTTGTATAAATTATTAAGGTCTATATATAATTTTAATAACATATTTATAATAAAAAATATTATGTATAAAATTGATGAAGATAGAAAATGGAAATAAAAAATGTAAAGGATAAATATATAATTGACAATGGTAATTAATATAAAACTGACCATTTATATAATTACAATTCAATACGTGTATGGATGAAGTGGCTCCACAACCCCTTTGAAACAACTTCATTTTTAAGAACAATTTTTTTAACAGAAAAAAAACTCTCAAATTAATGATAAAAATGAAGTCGATTTATTAATCAGAGGTGACTTCATAATTCATTTTACATAGCAATAGCACTTCATTTTGATAAAAACCATTTTCGGGTCACAGTGTTGGCCCACACCCTGCGAGGGTGACCCTCTTCGACCCTGTTATAGGACTCCACAAGGACATGCAACCCCCTTGACCCGCGTTATTTTGGTGGTAAAGAGGGATGTACTTGGTGACCTTTTGGGAAAACTCCACTGTGGATATGCAAGTAGCCAGTGTTTTATGATTTTGAAAGCTTTCGGATGCTAATTTATGGGTTGTTACTATTTGTGTTGCTAGCTATTTCATTTTACTTCAGAGAGAAATGTCATAATTAAACAAAAATTACCACACAATGACTGAAACGATAGTAGGACCTTTTCCTTTGTGTGCAAAAAGCGAAAATTTCTTTGGGATTTATGATTTCATGGTAGAGGCGATAAGTTTAAGTGCTATAGTCTCATTGATGTAGCTTTGGAGCTTTTTGTTTGTAGCAATGTGTCGATTTTCCAGAGTTCTCTAAGTTTACTAATTGGTTCACTTTCTTGTATATTTCTATACTCTTCATTAGTAGACGAATGATTGATGCCCTTCTGCTACTCTACTTTATCTGGTTTAGTAACTTCTTAGATTAAATATTATCAACTTAATACATAGTAATATAAAGTTAGATATATCAAGTTTATTTGTGTGTCTAAACTCTAAAGAGTGGAGAGACAAGATCTTACTTGATATATTTAATATTACCTTTATCAGAAAGGAGTTGTACTTGTATGAATTTAAGTCTGTAGCATATGCACTTGATAGCAGACTTACAGTCACAGAGCTCTTTATGCCTTTAAAGAAACTGACAAAGCAAACAGAATTAGGTTAACTGATATACGTACTGATAAAATTATAAAAAAATAAACTAGTAAATTAGCATGGTATACATTCATTGTCATAAACAAAGAATATACATGATACATACACATTCATGTCAACATTCACATGTTCTTCTTTTTAGAGGCAATTTTTCTCAGCCATCTTGTTCTTGCTTATCCTGTCCACCTCTCTCACTCAAACAGTGATGGCTACTGTCTTGTGATTAATTAACCTCAAAAGTACTGAACTTTATCAATGTCATATCATCTTCAATGATTCATTATATTCGAATCTTTTTCTTGTTTAGCATATATCTTTTACTTCTTTTCATGTTAGGTGGGTTCTCAAATGAAGAAAGAAACTAATGGAGTTAGCAACTTAGCATGCTGGTCAGCTCTATACATTTTCCCAGTTTTTTATATATTTGATATCATATGCTATGTATAAAGATTTATTCTGCTACTTCCTCTTAGAACTCATAGAATACATAGTAATTGACCTAAACATCATCAATAAAGAAAAAAAAAACATGTCTAGAAAAACTCAGAAGAACTTGAGATAGAAGGGTTTAAAGATTCATTTCTAAGGTAAAGCACGTTGCTATTAATATCATCTAGGTCTATCAAACTAGGGTAAGTGCCATTAAGCTGCAACTTGTTGACCATTTCACGAAGTTCTGAAGCTTCCTCTTTAAGCTGAGCATTCTCTTGTAAAACCTGATCATGTGTCCCTGAGAATTTATTCAATTTGTCAACAAGTTGATGATTTTCATCACGAAGCCAAATCACCTGTGACCAAAGTTCATCTAAATGCTTCTGTTTACGCATGCGGGACCTACGTGCTGACTCTCTATTAGATATCATTCTTCTTTGCTTCCTTTCATTGATGAGGTTTATCTGCTGTTGATCATCTGCTTCATCAGAAAAATAGGGGCTAATTTCTTGATATTGAGGGTGTATATGATGATTGTAGAAGGGGTTTGAGGGTGTGTTGATGTTGAATTGAAGAATTGGTGAGTTTTGGAGGTTCATGGTTAAGTTTGCTGTGTCTGGATTAGGGTTTGGAATGTAAAGGTAGTGGGAATTCTCACCGGGTTGCATGCCTGTTTATAATATTTTATATAATTTTGGTAAGTTGGAAATTTTTACAAGGTGAAGTAGAAGATGAGGTAAGGACTTTTTATAGTATTTGAAAAGGTTGTGTAGGTCCCACCATTACCATCTCATAGTAGTCGCATATGGCACCTTGATTGCTGATAGTAGGGTAGTTCTTGATGATATACTGTTAAAATAGGGTATACGTATAACGCATTACACCACTTCTGGGTGCCCCCACTAATCGTCTCATGGTCAACATGTGGTATGTGGTAGGTAAATTACAGTGTCCTATAAAGTGTCGTGTAAACTTAAAAAAAATGATACGAGACTTGAACCTAAGACCTCTATAACACTAAAAGCGACCCCGCCTTTTTATATATATTAAAACCTCAACATTTAATAAGGGCATCACAAAAAACTTAAAAATTTAAGTTTTTCTTTATAAAAGAAATTCAATGCCATTAATATTTTCTCTCAAAAAGTGTTGTCTGTCCTAATTTATGTACAATGTGACATTACTTAAAATATTTTATGAATCCACCATTGTATTGTACTGGCTTCATGTAAGTCATACACTTTTGATTTTTTTCAAGGTATGTGTCCCTTTATGGTAATGAAATGGTCAACAATTGCATGATTTTCGCCAGACATTTTCTTTTGGCCAATGTTGAGGGTACTATTTTTATTGTGGATAGGATTTGAATGCTTAAAAAAAAAAGGATATTTAAGACCACTTTGCTAGCAAAATATTCTATAATAAAAATACATTTTTTTACTGCATATTTAGGAATCACTGTCTCTTTTTTTTGGAAAGGGAACTTCCCTAACGAGGGTTTTCGGGCCAGCTTTCGCGCACCGACTAATCCCCCGCTGCAAACATGAGGCTTTGCCTCATGCCCTAAAGTCACTGCAGGCGAACCTCCTGGAATCACTGTCTCTTGTGATGCAGTAGGCTGTAATCAATGACAAGTTCAATGGACATAGTAAAAGTTGTTAACAAAAAAAAGTAATACTAACAGAAGGTACTTGTAAATAATCATTAATGAATAACTATAGTCATGCATATGAAAATCAACTTCAATGGACTAAAATGTCCTTCCTGTTAAACCATACTTGATTAGGTTAAGTAGTGAAAAATATCATAAGACAGAATAAGACTACTCTTCTTGTCTTGTCCTTCAATTGTTCTTGCCATGTTCCATTTTTTCCTCTAATTGCTCTACTCATGTGTTTCAGTTAAATTACCATTTTACCATTCACAATGTCAGTTTCTTTAACTTAAAACACAGTAGAGGGAATGTGTGGATTGTAAAAGGTCTGAAATAAATGATTGGAGATAACTTTAAATCCTTGAGTTACCCATTATACCCTTGATGCCATTGATAACTTTCAGTCTTCCACAAGTGTGCAAGACAAAGGGTATCATTGGAAAGTAAGATTGAAATGATAAGAACAGTTCCCTTAAGTTACGGACCACGTCCCACAAGAAGGGTACCTGATTTAACCCCAACCCCATAAATTTTATCACAATTCAATTTACACCCCACCATAAGTGGTAGTGCTACAAATATAAAAAGATAGTTTCTTTTTATGAAATTCTTAGCATTTGCCTTAACTAATCTAGAACTTGGATTCTCTAAAGAGGTGGCAATCTTTTTAGAAAGATGTATATAAATTTTATAATCTTACATCATGGGGTCTACTAATGTGTGCGCATGGGTGAAGTGAGCACCCCTGGCCCATCAATTAAATAGTAAAAGTTTTTATATAGTCTCAGGTGCTTATGGCCTCATATTAGTGTATGATGAAAGGCTGCTTGAATTTCTTGTGGATGTCATTACTTTTAATCCCATTTGTGCACCCCACTTGAAGCACACGATTTCCACACGACAATCATAAGCTCTACTAATTAGCTGAAATGTTAGTTTTTTTTCAAAAATAAACTAGTTATCTAGCTGATAAACAAGTTGAAAAAATAATAATGGTTGGTAAAAACTATTTGATAAGCTAAATGGAAAATGTATTACCTCATCTTCCCCTCCCTCTTTGTCTCTCCACAACGACAAATGAAAAAAAAATGATCCATTTGATGATGATGATCATGTAGTTGACTATGTGACTATTTTGTTGACTTTTTTATGGTTATAATGATTTCCATAAAGACTAAAAGACTAAATATAGAAAGTGAAAGTTAACCTAAGAAAGGATTAATCTTGTTAGTGTGTAAAAAACTTGGTGATAATGACTAGTATTTTGTCATGTTTTGATATCTGAATTTAATGGTTATTTTTTAATTAAATCAAAGATATGCACCCTCATCTTTCAACACTAGTGATCTCTTAGGATACTTCCTTTGTCTGTACAAAAATTGACATATTATTATGATTTGATATATATATATATATATATATATATATATATATATATATATATATATATATATATATATATATATTAAAATTATGGAAGAAAAGAATAGTAAACTTAGGATACTTTGTCCAAGTTTGGTCCCTTGATTTACATATCCGGTCCCTGTACTTCTTTAATTAATTTATTTATGTCCTTTTGTTTGTGTTCCATTCAACTTTCTATTTTTTTGGCAGAATTGGTCCCTGTATTATTGTTGGAAGTTAGGAATACTAAATTTGGATGTTTTTTGGCAACTTTTGTCATTATTCTTTACCCATTTTGACACTTTTAGTCCTTGCAATCAATATTTTTACACTTTTTGGAACCTTTTAATATTTAAAGTTTGGCCACAAAACTTTAACGATTCGACAACTTTGATCCCTTTTCTAAAAAGTTGCTAATTCCTACCCCTTTAATTCTTTAGCCATTTTCACACTTCTGGTCCTTGCAGTCAAAACTTTTACATTTTTTGTCCGGGGAAAAGCCCGGACTTTTCATCCTTGCACTTTCTATGTCTGTTATATTTATCAATTCGGAAACAACATTGAAAGCTTCTGGCCCCCACGTAGCGGGGGTAACCTTTCTAGTTATAATAACACTACAATAAATAAAGACAATATGGGCTATATTTGTCGCCGCTAAGTCGTGGTTGTTGATGACCATGATGATTATAGTATCTTACGGTCAAAAACTTTTACTAAAAAAATAATAATTAGAAATAACGGTGACACCAATAAGGACGACATGTCCATGCTATTAGCCACTATTGTTCAAAAATCGTCGTTATTGTTGTTGCCCTGTTGCCAAGTGTCGTCTTTTTGGTGTCGCCACCACTACAAGAAATGTGGGCAACGTCGCCGCAAAAGATAGGGGGTGTCGCCGCCAAAGGTATTAGCGGCGACATGTCGCTGCAAATACGTTGCCGCTAATGCTTCGTCGCTAATGTCCCGTTAGTCGCCGCTAATACAAATTTGTCGCCGCTATTGGCTTGTCGCCACTAATACTACACAGTTGCCGCTAAAAACTCATCGCCGCTAATACTTATCTATCGCCGCTAAAGGCGTCGCCGCAAAAACTGTTTTCATTTTTTTTATTTAATATTAAAGTTATAAAAAACAATATAACATTTATAAAATCTGTTACAATTTTATAAAATATTAATCCACAATTTTATAAAATCTATTACACATTTATAAAATTTGTTACTTTTAAACCATACAAAACCAAAAACAATATAACTTTTATAAAATATTGATCCACAATCCAAAATATTAGTCCATACAACCTAAAGTGTTCTTCTAAACAAACATTACATAAAATCTGAAAATTCCTACTCGTCGTCATCACTCTCATCATTTCCTTCATTATTTGGTGGTGGCAATGAACGAAACCACTCTTCCAATGTCGCAAAACATGCCGGGTCCTTCAGTATCGTTTCCAGCATTTCCAACTACAAAGAAAACATAATATATTATCAACATATCTATAACCAGCATAACATTATAAGATTTTACTTTCCAAAATTTGCTAAACTACAAAATATCAACATATCAAATTATAACCAACATATCATTATAGCATTCTACTTTCCAAAAATTACCAAACTACAAAATATCAACATATCAAACCATAACCAACATATCATTATAGCATTCTACTTTCCAAAAATTACCAAACTACAAAATATCAACATATCAAACTATAACCAACATATCATTATAGCATTCTACTTTCCAAAAATTACCAAACTACAAAATATCAACATATCAAACTATAACCAACATATCATTATAGCATTCTACTTTCCATTATGGCATTGTACTATATACTAAACAAACAATTACCAACATATCATTATAGCATCCTATTTTTTTTTCGTTTTTCCATTATAGCTGTAATACCCCGAATTCAGAAGACCTAGAATGGAAAGGAAAACCTCAAGATCAGAAGGCAACTCGTCGAGTAGGTGGGAGGACTCGACGTGTAGGATCATATTTTGGGTCCCAGGTTAAGTGACCTACTCGGCGAGTTGGAGGACCAACTCGGCGAGTTGGTCAGGGTTTGGGAAACCCTAAATTCGGGACTTGGTGCCCTATTTAAACATCTTATTCTCCTCCTCTTGGTTCCATTCCCAGGCCCCATTGTCCAGAACTTAACCCACAAAATCCTAGAGCCTTTTTAGAGTGTGTGAGCCATCCTTGAGTGTTTTATGTGTTCTTGAAGGCTAGAAGAAGAAGAGGAAGCTTGAAGGTTCAAGGAGAAGGTTGTGGATCCAGGTATTTCGTTCTAATCTCATCAGTTTCTAGTAATCAAGCTCCTAACTTGCCTTGTAGTTTCTTAGATCTCTTTATGGTCCCTTTTATGGGGGTTTTTGTCCAAGAAGTATGATTCATGGGTTAAGGATATCCCAAGTGGATGATAATTTCATATCTGAAGTCATTAAGGGATGTGAAGGCATAAAGGTGCAAACTTTAAGCCATTAGAGTCCCATGCAAACCCTAAGGATACTAGTATGGCCTTTTAAGCCCCAAAGGGCCATGCATGGAAGTAAAGTTCAAGACTTTACATGTTTATTGGGTGACTAGGGCCTAAAT